GATGGGGGTTGGAGAGCAACGCCCAAGCCCCACCGCTCCGGCTAGGGAGGCCGAAGTTGAAGCTCAAAGGCTTTAGGCCCAGGCCAGGGGCCTGCAACCTGAGTCTTGCTGCCCAGGGCTGAAGCCCTCAGACTTTGGCTTCGGCCCCAGGCCCCAGCAAGTGTAAGCCAGCCCTGGCAACCCCATTCAAAGGGGGTCACAACCCACTTTGGGGTCCTGACCCACAGTTTGAGAACCACTGCCTGTGTGTATGATTTCTAGTTCTTTGCCTGGCCTATCTTTAAATGTCTCACACGCTGGGGCTCCCACCACTTCCCAAGGGAGACTGTTCTAAAGCCTATATCCTGATAATCGCCTACATTTTTTGTCTCTTTTTAAATTTAATGCCATTTCTCCTAGTTTTCTGCTCCTTAATTGCCCTAAATCAATCATCTCCCTGCAGGAGCTTTTCAGCTTTCAAATGTTCAGCTGCCATTATGTTTCCTTCCACACACATACACTAATTGCTCAGCCAAGCTACACGTGTTTGGATTTTCTCAAACCCTCCAGCTCGTGTTGCTCTTCTCGGGACTCCCTTCACTTGGTTTATGTCTTTCAAGTACTGAGTGCTCAGGACTGCAAGTAAAAGACTCTGACTGTACCACCTTGCTCCATGATATGGCACCTCTGTACAAGTATCCCAAAACTGCATTGACCCTGTGTTTGGTGATTGCCATCAGCCCTACATCTCCTTTGGCATCGCTGGTTGTTTTTCCCCCCATTTCACAGCTGTGGTTTGGATTATGTTCCTCCAGATAAGTTAGGTCACAATTTTTCAAAAATGAATCCTATTCTCATCTGGCTGTGTTTCTAATCTCTCTAGAGCCCTCTAGTTTTTCCTGTCTTCACTAGTGTTTGCACATCCCTGCAGTTGAGTATCATCTGCTCATTTCTTTAACATGTCAGAAAAACATGTTAGAAAAACACAGAGTGTACATAAGCTTAGGGAGACCAGTCAGGTAGCCCCAGCGAGAAGGGAATCTCTACAATTTGGGCTTCCTGAACTCGACCTGAGAGCAAAAGCCAAGGACAAAGTACAGATATAAAAATAAAACTCAGCAGAGCCTGTCCATGAAACAGTTTAAAAAAAAGTCAAGCTAAGGAAAAGGGGAACCATTGTTTCCTGTAGTCCCAGGAGAATCTAGTAGCTAACCCTGGCAAAAGCTCAGTGCCTCGTAGCACACACCTCTTATAGTTCCCTGGAGGAAGTACCTCATAACCCCCAGCTGGGCTGGTTCACCAGCAGTCCCTGCGGCTGAGTGCAGGCAGCTGTGGCATCTTGCCCTACTCAGGAGGAGAATGTTAACCCTTTCCCTGCTTCCATCAGAGCCCCATACAGAGGCCCACTAGATCTGTTCAAAGGGTAACTGAAGGGGAGTATCTATTATTGTATGTAATTATTTTGAATTATGTCTGTGTGTGAAGGAGCCCTAGAAACTTGGACACAATTTCTAAAAACCGTATAAATAACTAGTATTTAGCCTCATAACAGGCAACAAAATTCAGCCATCTGCAGAACTCCTACAAAACTTTGAATTCGCCTGCAGGCCCTCAGAGGCCTCCCTCTGCACAGGGCCGGCTCCAGACACCAGCCCTCCAAGCATGTGCTTGGGGCGGCGCCTGGAGGGGGGCGGCGCTCACCCGGGAAGAGCGGGGCCGCAGCGGGCTCGCCGCCCTCCCCCGGCGCTCCGGCCGGCTGGGGAGAGCGGGGCCGCGGCCGGGCTCTCCGCCCTCCTCCCAGTGCTCCGGCTGGTCGGGGAGAGCGGGTCCCTGGCCGGGCTCTCCACCCTCCTTCTGGCGCTCCGGCCGGCCGGGGAGAGCGGGGCCGTCCTCCCCCAGCGCTCTGGCCGGCCGGGGAGAGCGGGCCCACGGCCGGGCGCGGCCCCCCCCCCCCCCCCCCCCCCCCGGGGGGGGGGGGGGGGCGGCAAAAAAGCCAGAGCCGGCCCTGCCTCTGCAGCACCCTGAGCAAGCAGCTAGACCTTCCAGTGAGCCCATGTTCTTTTGGACCAAGATGGCCGGCATCATAGGCGCCGACTCTGTGAGCGCTCTGGGACTCAAGCACCCACGGAAAAAAAACTAGGGGGTGCTCAGCACCCACAAGCCACAGTGGTTCCAGGCCCCGGGGGCTGGCTGCCAATCAGCTGTTCGGTGGGGCCCTCGGGCTGGCCCCCAATCAGTACTAAAAACAAAGCTTTTCCATCTCTGGGTGATTTCTCAGATCTTTTCTGGGTTTCTTCTTAAAGGTGGGTGAAACGGCTTCACTCAGATGTTTAGGTACATTTTCAGTTTCCAAAGATCCCCTGCACTTTAGAGCTCATGTTGCATTGACCATCCTATCGATCTAGGTATTTAAACAACTACCGTACCCCTGTGAGGTATGTAAGTATTGTCTTCATTTAATAGTTGGGAAACTGAGGCACAGAAAAGTTAGGTGACTTGCCCCAGGCCGCACAGGAGTCAAATCCTATACTCCTGAGTCCTGGTCCAGTGCTTTAGCCATAAAACCAGTCCTCCAGACAAGGAAAGCTGGCTGTAACTTCCCCTGTCATCCATCAGTGCCCCTCTTAAATTTGCCCTGGGGCTCACTGGAGAAGCAATCGGAGTCACACCCACTTTTCCCCAGGTGAAGAGGCAGAGTGTAGAATTTTTAGTTTCCCAGCAGCCATATTTCATATGGGAACTATCCAACTGTACATTTTGAAATGATTTCGTTTACAGTTCAAAAAGATGTTTGCAGGTGCCATGAGTTTACATATGTACAGCCACGGTCTGCTCAGATTAACCGCTACAGAATTAGGGCATAAGCTTTCGTGGGTAAAAAAACCTCACTTCTTTTACCCACGAAAGCTTATGCCCAAATAAATCTGTTAGTCTTTAAGGTGCCACCGGACTCCTTGTTGTTTTTGTGGACACAGACTAACACGGCAGGCTATCCCCTGATACTTTACCGAATTAGGGAGAAGTAAAGATGATTTTAAACCTCCAGCCTCTCACTCCTGGACGGTGCCTCTTATGAGCATCAGCACAGAACTCTGGGGTCCAGCGAGCCTAGTGACGAAAGCAGGAGCCAGACACTGAGCCAGGACACCTGGGTTTCTTTCCTCGCTCTGACATTAGTTGTCTGTGTGAAGCCTTGGGCATGTCACTTCACCTCCCTTTTTCCTCAGTTTTCATCTCAAGCATAAAATCAAGGCCGATGATGATCTCATCCAGCCTTATCAAGTGCTCTGGGAGCCTCTGTTGTAGAAACAGGAAGCATTACGGCTCTGTTTTGTACACCTTATGGCGCTTTTGTCTTTGGCCCCACGACAGCCAGATGAGGCACTGTGTTGCCTGTAGGAATTGTTTAGTTGTTTTGGGCATTTGTTTTAATTCTTTATTTAATTGCTTTTCCCGTTCAAAGCAAAGTTTACACAAAGCATTTAATGCACGCTGCAAAAGTGAAGGAGTTCAGATGGTGCCAGGTCCCCAGACTGACTCAGTTTCACACAAGAATATATAGCAATACCCCCTGCAAAAGGAAGGAAAGGAATGCTGATATCTAAGCACATGGGATGCTGAACCTTCCCTTTGGATTGCTCCCTTCTGCACTGCACCTGTGGGGAAGGGCTTAGAAGGAAGAAATCTCCTGGAGGATCCCCTTGCAGAGTTCCTCCTTGCTGATTATTCCATCTGGGGGGCAGGGTTCGCTGCACTGCAGATTGGTCACTGGGGCCTATCCCCAATCCCTTTAGGTCCTGAGGGATCAGGAGGCAGGGGCGGCTCTATATATTTTGCCGCCCCAAGCATGGCAGTCAGGCAGCCTTGGGCGGCATGCCTGCGGGAGGTCCGCTGGTATCGCGGATTCGGCGGCACGCCTGCAGGTGGTCCGCCGGTCCCGCACCTTCGGCGTACCCTCCGCCGAATTGCTGCTGAAGCTGCGGGACCGCTTGGAACGCTGGTGCCTGGAGCCGCCCCTGTCAGGAGGCCAGGGTTATCGGTGCAGAGGCCCTGCAGCTTCACACCAGCTTTGTGCTGGTCAGGCTTGCCCCCTCCTGGCAGCTGTGATGGAGCAGCACACTCCTATGGACTTTCCTTGGCCCCAGGATTCCCCTTAAAGGGAGATCTCCGTGAAGCTGGAGACTCCACCACAGTCCTCTTTCCCGGCTAAGCTCCATGGTGCCAGAGAGGAGAGACTACGTATGTGCCCCCGTCCCTTATCTGTGAGGATACGTGCACTGTCCCTTTAAACGGAAGTGAGACACTGGGCAGGAGGGGGCCCAGAAAGGATCTAGGTAGAAGCTCCAGAGTTAAGCCGAAGGGGAGAGAGAGATGGATAATACTGTTTGCATAGTCCAATAAAGTTCCTTGTTCAGTGTTAGAAAATTGTGGCTGTGTTGGGACTTTTCCTCTTTACACAACAAGGCTATGAAGAAACCACCTGGGCATAGTTGGGTCCCAAATACCCTTGTTTTCTAACTGTACTGTACACAAATATACCAGACTTTGTCTCACACACACACACACACACACACTGTTGTTGACTAGTTTCAGGCAGCTTATACAACACAGAACACAGCAAGCACCACTAGAGGCTCACAAACTATATAAAGGCATAGGACCCTATTTCTCTACACTGCAACCTCTTGCAGTGATGTTTTACCAATGCCACATGACCCCCTCTAGAGCTAAACTGTTTCCTGTAAGAGCTCTTCTTTATCTCTCTCAGCTCTGCGTTGGGGAAGACGAGGACTTCGGGCCAAATGAAGTAAAGGACATTGCTTGCTCAGGCCAGCCAGGCCTCGCTTGGGAAAAGACAACTCCCTCAAGTGCAGGTTATTTTAAGTCTGCTTTTTTCTTCTCACAAGGAAGGATTTTGCAGTGTGTGCTTTTAAATGCCTCACTTGTGTCCTCACATCCTGTCAGCCCTGATAGTCATTTTAAGGAAGTGTCAGAGGGAGAGAGAAAGAGGGAGATGAAAAGTTCCAAAGCTGCAGATACCACCGAAGCAACCCGCACAAAGAAACTGGCAAATATGTTTGCTTGTGGGAGGAGGAGCCAGAGAACAGATAGCTCAGAGGGTGGGTGTCGGGTTAGCCTATAAGGGTGGAGAAAGGAGGTCCTTACAGACTTTGGTATGGTTTTGCTGTTATCTTCCTGTCTGCCTGACTCTGCAGTTGGCACTATTCCCAGCAGCTTCCTGTTTAGTTTAGTTTCATTTCTCGCAGACTGGCTAGGAGGGTGTTGTTTCTGAAGCCATGGCAGAGGCAGAGGAAGAATTCAGAGCAGCTGCTGCCCTGGAAGATGAGCTCACCTGCCCTATCTGTCTGTGCTTCTACAGCAACCCTGTCTCCCTGAGCTGCCAGCACAGCTTCTGCAAGGAGTGTATCCAGAAAGCACTGGCTGCCCAGCAGCAAGCCAAGGCCACCTACTCCTGCCCTATGTGCAAGGTCCAGCTGGGGCCCTTTCTGGAGCTGCATAAGAACTTCCAGCTCTGCAGCATAGTGGAGACGTTCCAGACGGCTTCTTCAAAGGGAAAGAAGGGCAAGGAGAAGGCCTCTCCGCAAGGGAAGGAGACAATCCCCTGTGATTTCTGCCTGGAGCAGCCTCACACAGCAGTGAAAACCTGTCTGACCTGTGAGGCATCTCTGTGTCAGGCCCACCTGAGCAAACACAATGCCAAGGCTGCACAGAAGGATCATGTCCTGGTAGACCCCAGTGACAACAGCTCCCTGCAGGAGAGGAAGTGTGGCAAGCATGGCAAGCTGCTAGAGTGTTACTGTGAAGATGACCAGGTCTTCGTCTGCATGATGTGCTCTATCGCAGGCTCCCACAAGGGCCACAGCGTCATCTCCCTGAAGGAGGAGTATGACAAGGAGCTGGTAAGGAGCTTTCTGCATCTCTGCTTGATGGGCACAAATTCCAAAGGGGATCTTAATGTACAGCCCCTTATAGAGCTACGCTCAGTGTGATAGTTCAGTTCAGGATGGAAATGCTAGGCGGGTAAGGGAAGGATTCCCCAGATTATTCGGGACGGGGGTAAAGGAGGAGGGAGGTGACTCATGAACTGGTCTTAGTGTTCACCCCCAAAGAGAGAAAACTGTAGTAATCGGGGAAATTGCCCTTGATTGCTCCTTTTTTATGCTGTGTCACACTCAGTTAAAGGCAGGAGGCAGATTTCAGTTCAAGCAATGATGTGTGAGGATCAAAAGTATGTAAGTCCATTGCGGGCCTGTGTGGACGCTGCTAGAGTGCAGTGAAAGTCCCAGATAGTGTACGGGGAAAGCCCTGCAGTTCAGCATACTTAACTTTGAAGCAGTAGTACATTTAGCTGCACTCTAGGACTTTCAGTGCAATGTAGCAGTGTCCACACCAGACATTACCACGTGCCAAGCTGGTGTGCTGGAGATTCACACCTTGGCTTGCTGTGCAGTAACTTGCCACACAGATAAGTCCTGAGATAGGTTCGGGGTAAATATCCATGATTGCTACCTTATGTTCAGATCCTGCAAATGGTATAATAGGACTATTCACCTGAGTAAAGTTATGTACGTGTGTAAGTGTTTGCAGGATTGGGTATTAAGTGATGAGCTAAACGTGTACAACTTCTCTTCTTCTTCGAGTGATTGCTCAGGTGTATTCCACAGTAGGTGTGCGTGCTCGCCACGTGCACCGGTGCCGGAAGTTTTTCCCTTAGCAGTACCCGTAGCGGGGAAGCCCCGCTGCGACCCCTGGAGTGGCGCCAGTATATCGCGCCATAAAGGGGGCTGCGCGCTCCCCCCACCCTCAATTCCTTCTTGCCGCCAGTGAAGGTAGTCGGAACTTCTGCTCCAGCAATTGCTGTAGCTTCTATCCTTGGTAGTACCTTGATCGTTACCAGTTCTGCAGTTAGTAGCCTGGCCCAGGGCATGCCCTGAGCCCCAGGCTTCAAGTCGTGTGACTCCTGTCGCAATTCCATGCCTAGAAGCGATCCACACTCTGAGTGTCTTCGCTGTCTGGGCGAGGCTCACATAAGTGAGTGGTGTAAAATTTGCAAGTCCTTTAAGCCCCGGATGAAACACGAACGTGAGATCTGACTCCGGGCCCTACTTATGGAATCGGCATTGGCCCCGGCACCGGCACGCCGACCCGACCTGGCGCCAGGCACCGCGTCCTCGGTGCGGAGCGACTCCCCATCCACCAGTCGGCACCGCTCCCCAGCCAAGAAACAGGGCAAGTCCCAACGACGCCGAGATAAGGACAGGGGTGAGGCCGGACCTGAGTTGGGCAGCCCACGATCCCCCTCGGGACCCAGACCTCCGACTCATGCGGAGCGGAGTAGTCCGGCCCCGTCCGCGCGTGCCTCCCCGCCGATAAGGGCAGGGCCGGCCTTAGCGAGAGCGGGGCCCGATTCCTGGGGGCGGGGCTTGCCGCTGGCAAGCCCCGCCCCCAGGAATCGGGCCCCGCTCGGGCTGGGGTCGCGGGGTTTGGGTCCGGGCCGGAGTCGCTCGGCTGGGGACGCGGCCGGCGCCCTGGGGCCCGAGCCAGAGCCGCCGGGGCCGGAGGGGCTCGGGCCGGCGCCCCAGGGCCCGAGCCGGGCCGGGGGTGCTCGGCCGGGGCCAGGGCTGGGGGTACTCGGCCGGGGCCGGAGCCGTGGGGCCTGAGGTGTTCGGGCCGGGCCGGCGCCCCGGGGCCCGAGCCGGGCTGGAGCCAGAGCCACTCGGCTGGGGCCGGGCTGGCGCCCCGGGGCCCGTGCCGGGCTGGAGCCAGAGCCGCTGGGGCCGGGGCTGGGGGTGCTCGGCCAGGGCTGGACTGGGCCGCGCCGCGCCTCCCCTCCACGGAGCCCTCCTCGCGCCCCCCGCCCCCCGCTTACCTGTTGCTGCCACCGCCTGCCCCTGCTTCTTTTCAGGCTTCCCGCGAACATCTGATTTGCGGGAAGCAGGGGAGGGGGAGGAACAGGGGGCAGAGCGTTCAGGGGAGGGTAGGAGGGGGAAGTGAGCTGGGGGCGGGGTGGACAGCTGCGGGGCCCTCTTAGGCGCGGGGCCCAATTCAGCCGAATCGGCTGACTCGGCCTAAAGCTGGCCCTGGATAAGGGTTCCTTCCACGCCGGAGGAAGCCCAGGCGGTGCACGACGTCCTCGTCATGCCGGTACCGAGTGGGCCGCCACAGCTGGGGCCCCTGTCCCGAGGGAAGCCGCTGTTGGGTGCCCAGCCCTCACCGGCCAGGTCGGTTATCGATGCCTCCATTCGATCCGTCGACCCCTCCCATAGCCCCTGACAGACCTCCACTCCGTTGTCGGGGTCGCCTGGGAGCGAGTCGCCTGACGGAAAGCGTCGACGCTCCTCGTCCAGTGATAGCAGGTCTCGACGACGCCGGCACCGCCGGTCATATCGGGACGATTGCCATGCTCGGAGTGCATCCCGGCAGTCACCGGCACCGCGGCGCCGTGCTCGGAGCCACCGACAGGACTCCAGGGATATTACCTCCGAAGTCTACTTCTCGTCGTCGTCGAGGTTGAAATCCCGGGGCAGGACCCGACGTGTACGGCACTGGTCAAGCCGCTCCTACGGCACTGTGTGCTCCTCGGCCACCTCTGCCTCGGCCCCCAGCCGTCCTTCCCCGGGCCACACCGTTCCCCGGGAACAGATAACCCTGGTGGGACCCCAGACGGTGCAGTGGCAAGGGGCGCCCTGGCAAGGACAGTGGTGCCAGTGGGCACCGTGGCCCCAGGCGCCCGCACCACCGAGGCCCCGCTCCGTGGCTGGGGCATCCCAAGCCCACTCTGCGTCCCCGCCTCGGCACCGAGAGCAGTCCTCGGGTGCCGCACCACCGGCACCGCACCCAGACCCGGACGCGGAGTGTGACCTACTGGCACTGCCCGATACACTAAAGGGCCGTCCCGGTTGCCCCGTCGGCACCGGATGAGTCCATAGCGGCACCGCCCCCTCCTTCTCAGGAGGATTTCAAGGCACACCAGGAGCTCCTCCGGCGTGTTACCGCCAATCTACAGCTCCAGGCGGAGGAGATGGAGGAGCTGTCTGACAATTTGTTCAATGTCCTCTCCTCCTCGGCACCGGGATGTGTGGCACTGCCGCTTCACCAGGGGGTGGGCAACATCTCGACTGGCCTATGGCAAACCCCGTCCTTTCTTCCGCCCATCTCCAAGAAGGCGGAACGGAAGTACTTCGTGCCAACGAAGGGGCATGAGTACCTCTATACCCACCCTACCCCGAACTCATTGGTGGTGGAGTCAGTCAACCACCGTGAACGGTACGGTCAGCCTGTACCAACCCCTAAGGATAAGGAGGCCAGGAGACTGGACACTTTTGGGAAAAAAGGTTTATTCCTCTGCCAGTTTCCAGCTCAGGGTGGCGAACCATCAAGCACTCCTGAGCAGGTTTGACTTTAACTTGTGGGGCTCTTTGCCAAAATTCGAGCCTTCCCTTCAAGAGCAGGACAGGAAGGAGTTCACGGTGCTACTTGATGAGGGTGCAGCGGTAGCGAAAGCAGCTCTCAAGGCTGCCTCGGATGCAGCTGACACGGCGACTCGTTCGATGGCCACAGCTATCTCCATGAGACAGGCGTCGTGGCTTTCCCTGTCGGGGTGTCAGTGGAGTCCCAGGCTCTGATGCAGGACCTGCCATTTGATGGCAAAGCATTATTCGCAGACCAGACAGACACCCGTCTGCACGGGATGAAGGACTCCCGCACCACCCTGCCGGCCAAGGACACTCTATGTCCCGCCGGCCAAGGACAAGCCCAGACTGCAGCCCTTGCCTCCCCCTGCACGAGGCAGATACGAGCCCCCACCCAAGAGGCCTAGGGACCAGAGGCGCAGGTCGCAGCGTCAGTCCCGCTCGGCCCCATGCCCCGGACCCTCGAAGGGCAAGAGGCGTTTTTGACTGTTTGCGGGGGGCCACCTGGCCTGTTGCCAGGGAAAATCCCCCCCCCCCAGTTAATAAAGTTGGTTTTTGGCAACCGTTTATCTGCCTTCAGGGTACATTGGTCCCGTATAACGTCGGACCGATGGGTCCTCAGTACCATCTCCGAGGGGTACAGGCTGCAATTCGTTTCAACCCCACCGCACCACCCTCCGCCCCGGGATGCCCCAGGGGACTCAGAGCACGCCCTTCTGTTAAGTCAGGAGGTGACGCGCCTCTCACCCTAGGCGCGGTGGAGAGGGTACCTCAGGAATTCCAGGGCAAGGGGTTTTACTCCCGGTATTTCCTGATCCCAAAGGCGAAAGGCGGTCTCAGGCCCATCCTCGACCTGCGGCATCTCAACCAGTTTCTGGTTCGCTGCAAATTCCATATGGTGTCCCTGGCCTCTATTGTCCCGTCCCTGGACCAGGGGGATTGGTTCGCAGCCCTGGACCTCCAGGATGCGTACTTCCATATCCACATTTTCGAGGGCCACAGGCGCTTCCTACGCTTCCTGGTAGGGACAGACCACTACCAGTTTACGGTCCTCCCCTTTGGTCTTTCTACGGCCCCCAGGGTTTTCACCAAATGTATGGCGGTGGTCGCAGCCCACCTCAGGAGGAACGGGGTACAGATCTTCCCCTACCTGGATGGCTGGCTGCTCAAGGGCAAGTCTCGGTTGCAGGTGCAGGTGGAATTCCTGCTAGACACGTGCACGAGTCTAGGCTTAGTAGTAAATGAGGAGAAATCCACGTTAGCTCCAGTCCAGCGCATACACTTCATAGGGGCGCTGTTAGACTCGCTGGGGGCCACGGCCTCCCTCCCCTGGGACAGGTTCGAGACGCTCAAAGGCCTCATGGCCTCGGTCACGGCCTTCCCTGTGACGACGGCAAGGATGTGCCTGCAAATCCTAGGCCATATGGCAGCATGCACCTTCGTGGTGCGACATGCCAGGCTCAGGATGAGGCCCCTCCAACTCTGGCTGGCCTCCCAGTATTCCCAGGCCAGGGACGGCCTGGACAAGGTCATCACGCTGCCACCCTATATAGTTGCCGACCTACAATGGTGGTCCCTCCCGGGCAACATGCTCCAGGGTATCACCTTCCGGGAGCCCCCTCCCTCCCTAGATCTGGTATCGAACGCTTCAGACCTGGGATGGGGAGCCCATGTGGGGAACTTCAGGACCCAGGGCAGATGGTCGCCCTCGGAATTGTCCCTGCACATAAATATCAGGGAACTCAGGGCGGTACACCTGGTGTGCGTGGCCTTCCGCCAGCACTTGGGAGGGAAGGTGGTCAGACTCCTCACGGACAATACGACTGCGATGTATTATATCAACAGGCAAGGGGGCACACGTTCAGCAGCCTTGTGCCAGGAAGCCTAACTCCTGTGGGAGTTCTGTATAGCCCACGACATCCTACTGAGGGCCTTTCACCTGCCTGGCAAGCGCAATACGCTCGCAGATCACCTGAGCAGGTTTTTCTCTCAACAACACGAGTGGTCCCTACACAGGGAGGTGGCCAGGCGGCTCTTCCTACATTGGAGCACTCTCCAGGTAGATCTGTTCGCCACCGCCCAGAATCACCTGTGCCCACGATTCTGCTCCAGGGCGGGGGAGAGCGAAGGGGCGATATCAGACGCCTTCCTGATTCCATGGGCGGGCCGCCTGTTCTATGCCTTCCCACCCTTTCCCCTGATAGGAAAGGTCCTATAGAAGGTGAAGGCGGACGGGGCGCGAATTATCCTCATAGCCCTGGATTGGGCCCGTCAGCATTGGCGGGACCCTCCGGCAGCCTAAAGTGGCCCCCCCGCACAGGCTGCCGCTTCGGCCGGACCTCCTCTCCCAGGAGGGAGGACGTTTCCTCCATCCCAACCTGGCCGCGCTCCACTTGACAGCATGGCTGCTCCATGGCTAAATGAGGAGGAGGGGAGGTGTTCGGAGGGTGTTAGACAGGTCTTCCTAGAAAGCAGGAAACCGTCCACACGTCGAACCTACTTGGCAAAATGGTATCGGTTCTCCAGGTGGGCGAGGGAGAAGGGTGCTTCCCCCTCCTCCGCACCCCTCCAACTCATCCTTGATTACCTCCTGTCCTTTAGGACCCAAGGGCTGGTGCCTTCCTCGGTCAGGGTGCACCTGGCGGCTATCTCGGCCTTCCACCCCCCAGTGCAGGGCCACTCGGTGTTTTCACACCACATGACGTCCCGGTTCCTAAGAGGGCTGGATCGGGCCTTCTCGTACGCTAGACCCCTAGTCCCACCCTGGGACCTGAACCTAGTTCTCTCCTGCCTCACAGGGCCCCCCTTTGAGCCCTCGGCCACGTGTTCTTGGTCCCACTTATCGTGGAAAGTGGCGTTCCTGGTGGCTATCACCTCAGCCCGCCGGGTCTCGGAGCTTAGGGCCCTGACCTCAGAGCCTCCATACACGGTCTTCCATAGGGATAAGGTCCAGCTCCGCCCGCACCCGGCTTTTCTGCCAAAGGTAGTCTCGGCTTTTCACATAGATCAGGACATTTTCCTCCCGGTCCTCTGTCCTAAGCCCCATTCCTCCAATGAGGAACGGCGCCTGCACATGTTAGATGTGCGTAGAGCGCTGGCTTTTTACCTAGACAGAACCAGGCCATTTAGGAAGTCCCCCCAGCTGTTTATTGCATCGGCCGAGCGCATGGGGGGTGACCGGTTTCCACCCAGTGGATTTCCCGCTGGATCACCTCCTGCATACGCACTTGTTACGACCTGGCAGGGGTTCCCCCGCCTCCTATAGTGAAGGCTCATTTGACGAGAGCTCAGGCCTCCTCGGCTGCCTACGTGGCTCATGTCCCTATTCAGGACATATGCAGGGCTGCTTCATGGTCCTCTGTCCACACCTTTTCGTCGCACTATGCAATCATCTCCCAAACGCGGGATGAAGCCGGGTTTGGTAGGGCGGTACTCTGCCCGGGTAACCCTTAAAACTCCTACCCACCTCCATCAGGGATAGCTTGGAGTCACCTATAGTGGAATACACATGAGCAATCACTCGAAGAAGAAAGGACAGTTACCTGTTCCGTAACTGGCATTCTTCGAGATGTGTTGCTCCTGTCTATTCCACATCCCGCCCTCCTTCCCCTCTGTCGGAGTTGTCTGGCAAGAAGGAACTGAGGGTGGGGGGGAGCGCGCAGCCCCCTTTATAGCGCGATGTACAGGCGCCACTCCAGGGGTCACCGGGGCTCCCCTGCTACGGGTACTGCTAAGGGAAAAACTTCCGGCACTGGTGCATGTGGTGAGCACGCACACCTACTGTGGAATACACCTGAGCAACACATCTCGAAGAACGCCAGTTATGGAACAGGTAACTGTCCTTTTTTAACCTACACAGTCACTGTGTGGCTAACAAATATGGGACTGTCTTTTTGTTCTGTGTTTGCACAGCACCCAACACAGTGGGGTCCTGGTCCATCATTGGGTGGATGCAAACAATCAATTTTTATATATAGTAGGTAAAATTAAAATCAGTTCTGAATAAGGATTCCAAGAATGTTTCCGTTTTCCAACTCATCCATGGTCTTACGTCTTTCGAGGAGGGTTGGGGGAGACAAGAAGCACACAACTTATTATGTGGCTCACTTGAAACAAATGGGTGCACATATTCGATGAGAGGGGATCGATAAAAGGGTCGCTTGTTCATTTCATCAGCTCCATAAAAGTGCCATTTTCTTATGAACCCATCAGTGTTAGTTTCCCGTTATAATGTTTAATGCTGTTTTTCCTTTAACTAGGTTGTTCTCTCTGACAGTGTGAAACTGATGCAGGAAAACAAAAGTGCTATGAATAAAACCTTAGGGGAGCTTCAGAAGAGTGAGAATCAGCTCCAGGTTTGTCCCTGGATTATTCAAAGTATCTTTTTTTAATGACTTGTAAGAAAAAAAAAATGATGGCATCTCTGATCAATGTTCTCTAGCAACCCCTTCTGACTGTGAAGATGACATAATAAATCTGTATTAATAATATCTCACTATGGGGCTCTGCAGGTCATGAAACTGCAACTTAAAAAACAAAACCACCATAAATGTGAAGAAAAATGACAGAGGCAAAGAATATTTGTTTGCATTCTGTAGTGTCTTTCTTCCCCAGACCTCAAAGTACTTTGGGGCTGAATGTGCAACCCTAATTCACATTTGTGAGCAGTTACTCACATAAGTAGTCCCACTGAAGAAGTCTAGCCATTTGCAATCAATAATTAATTAATTTTCACAATGTTCCCAATGTAAGTTAAGTTAGCTGATCATTATTATTCTCATCCCCATTTTTGCTTTATCCCCGTTATCTTATCCCTCATTTACAAATGAGTAAACTGAAGAGCAGAGAGGTTAAGTGTCTTAGGCAAAATCACACAACCAAGTCAGAAATAGAACCCAGGATTCTGACTCCCAGCTCCCTTGTCAAATCACTACACACACTTAATTAATCCCATTACATTGTTCTTAAAGCTCTCTTTCTCTGTTAAAAGAGGAGCTGTACGTAAGTATGGGATTTTCAGAGTAAACCAATGCAGACTATAATGACCTATCTGAACTTTCTCTCTCTGCTTTATTCCCTTTCATCACACCCAGATAATTTTCAGATTACGCTGATTACTTGGCTGTGCCGAGGAAAAGTGAAACGTACTTATTGTCCACTTCATTCTTAAATCTGGTATTGCAAAATGTTGGGTATAATAATGATAATTAATAAATAAACACACTAAGCTGTGGTACTGAATTCCTGAGCCAGCACCTTATTTGCTTACCTGTTCTTTTAGCTCAATAAGAAAACTTTGAATGCTCAGCTGTCAAACCTCTTCAAAGAGATCAAGGCAGCGGTGGATCAGAAGGAGAAGCAGATCCTGGCTCACATACAATCCAGTGAGAAAAAGCAGCTGTCAGAGATTGCCACACTGAAGAAGCAAACAGAAAAGAAGAGAGATGAGGCTGAGAAGGGTCTTCAGGACCTGCAGATGCTGAGAGCGCAAACAGACCCTTTCCACTTCCTCAGAGTAAGCAGCAGCATTTAGCTCTGATTTAATAAATGAACATTCAAGCAGTTGCCCTTGCCCTGCACTGCACTAAAACTATTTTTTTTAATATTTTTATAGGAATTTAAACTGGCACAAGACAGGTACGTTCTCCCCCAAAAGGTTTGTCTTATTCCTTGGCACAATAGGGAGCTGACAACTCTAAAAACTCAAAAGACTTCTCTGTATCCCTAGTCTTCATTCTGTGTCCCAATGCCCCTCAAATCAAGGCCTGGTCTTGAGTCAGAATTCACCACTCCCAAAATATGGGTGGATAATGATTCACCTGTAACTTCAATAGTGCCCTGTTAGTTTTCAATGTCCTGAACCACTGCCTTGATTACCCACCTAAGGAAAGCCACTGGAGCTTATTAGCTCATAGTTGTATTTTCCAGAGGTGAGCACAGTGTAGGGTTCAATTGTATTGAGAATGATGCTTTGTCATGTGTATGCAGCCTTGTATGATGTGCTTGGGTGAAATTACTGCACTTAGAACAAGGTGCAGGGCTCCATTTTTGGGTTAGGGGTTAACCGTCTCATTTGGCTCAGTTTGGGGTTTCATCACTCTCCCAGCAGCTGGGCTGCCCGTTCTGCTTGAGGACGGTCATAGTAGTTTTAGTGGTGTTGATGCCTCCTGTTGCAAGTGGCACACGTGGTTAGTAAGTTTCTTATTGGCACACCTATCTGCTATGGTTATCAGTACAAAAAACTAATAATCATCTGAGCGATATCACAGACTTGTTGTGGTGCAGTGAGGTGATAAAAAGTCCCCTGGAGGGTCACGTAGCGATTTGGCTTTAACATTGATTTGGATTTTAAAATGTCACCTTTGCACTTTGTAAGAATCAGGGTTAGACTGTGACTTGGACTATGTTTTCTGTTTTGTTTTCTGTTTATGCTGCTTCCAAAGTGACTTAAGCGACACCAGAAAGGGCACTTTTATATCAGGGTAAGAGTATCCACATGGAGAATATAACTATAGCGGTACAATTCTACCAATATAGTAGTGTTAGTAAATTTCCCCATGTAGACAAGCCCTGATAGGGTATGAATTGTAGTGCTGAGTCACAATGCCCTCCAGGGCTACTTTTTGGACGATGCACCTTACACACCTCAGAGCTCGCAGCTGTATCTAAAATTAAAATCTAACCTTTAGGGAATAAGTCATTTCCCAGAAGCTTACCCAGTTTAATATGTCTGGCATGTTCCTTTCACCACATTGGTGGTTACACAGCAGTAATAATAATATTCAGTAATGTTTAGAAAAAAAAGTAGCCCTATTTTTCATCAGACAGTTTCAAAATTTGAATGTTTGCACCCAGTGGTAATCAATAGCAATACTACCTAGCAGATCGAGGGACGTGATCATTCCCCTCTATTCAACATCAGTGAGGCCTCATCTGGAGTACTGTGTCCAGTTTTGGGCCCCACACTGCAAGAAGAATGTGGAAAAATTGGAAAGACTCCAGCGGAGGGCAACAAAAATGATTAGGGATCTGGAGCACATGACTTATGAGGAGAGGCTGAGGGAACTGGGATTGTTTAGTCTGCAGAAGAGAAGACTGAGGTGGGATTTGATAGCTGCTTTCAACTACCTGAAAGGGGCTTCCAAAGAGGATGGATCTAGACTGTTCTCAGTGGTACCAGATGACAGAACAAGGAGTAATGGTCTCAAGTTGCAGTGGTGGAGGTTTAGGTTGGATATTAGGAAAAACTTTTTCACTAGGAGGGTGGTGAAGCACTGGAATGGGTTACCTAGGGCCGTGGTGGAATCTCCTTCCATAGAGGTTTTTAAGGTTAGGCTTGACAAAGCCCTGGCTGGGATGATTTAGTTGGGGATTGGTCCTGCTTTGAGCAGGGGGTTGGACTAGATGACCTCCTGAGGTCCCTTCCAACCCTGATAGTCTATGATTCTATGATAATGTTACTAATAATAACTGTAAGAGTAATCGTAATGCAGAACACTTCTTTAGTACTTTATGTTGCCGAAGTGCTCTCCTCTCTGTATATTTTCTGCTAATTACTAGGTACCTACCTAACTTTAGAGAGAGTCAACTTTATAATTGTTAATTGGTGATCACTGATTGAATGACTGTCTGGGTATTCTAGGATTAATAATCAGAATTTCAGGACTGACAGCATGGAAGTATTACCACTGCAGCTGGATCAGGCAACAATTGCTGATGTTAGACGCTGGACACAGCAGTATATCTCAAACCTAGATTCACAAATGCAAGAAGTGCACAGTAAGTAAACTACCCAAACGAGTAACAGAACATTACTGGTCTGTAGTGGAAAATGGCCACCTTTTATCAAGGACTGTGCAATAGCTCCCTGATTTATTCAACTGAGCATTGCTTGTGTGCTGCAAATTTTGATCCTTCTCCATAGAGGCCAGAGTGTGGATGTCTGCCATCTGCCATGGCGCCCTGTCCCCTCAGCCCCTCCCCGCAACCAGTTTCCATCTGCCCCAGCATTCCAAACCTCACCCTCTGTCAGACCTTTAGGGACCACCCCATGTGTTTGCCCAGTGGACCCATATTTTCAAATCTGCCTCTGATAATGGGATCAAGACCCCACAGCAACACATTCCAAATGACTGTTTATATTGTGAATACACTGCCAGCCTTCTAAGACATTCTCTCAACCCTTGCAGGTCAGTTCATTAACCAAACACAGAGGAACAGGTAAAAATCCCTTTCTTCTCTTCACTTTTGCAATATTCACTGCAAATGCCACTAAACAGCCTTTGTATTTTCCAGAAGTTCACAGCTCTTCATTGGAAGGCCATTATGTATTGGGCTAAAGGGACAGATTTCACTGCTTTTATCCTCCTTCAGAACTGGACCTGCACTGATGCTGCAAACATTCCCCACAAACATTTGTTCACGTTGTTAAACAGATTTGCTTTGAGTGTATCTGTGCCTCTTTGCTTTCTCCGAATACTCTAGTGAAGCGCTCCCCCAAACAGCATACTTAAATTCATATAGCAGAATATTTGTGGAAAGTCGAGTGTGAATGCAAAAGGCGAGAATTCACCGTGGCCACCTAATTCTAAGACTTACTGTCTGGAGTTGTTCACGGCCGGGAGTGTCAGCCTTAGGGCAGGTTGTCATAAAGCAGGGCAGACACCCCAAGCTGGCTTATGTGCTATAATTAGATTTCACCAACCCAGAAACAAGAGTGAACTCCTGAAGCACTACAACAGTTTTACCATGGAGTCACAGTGGCACTCCAGTCTATCTTGCCACACAGTCAAGCTGGACTTAGTGATAAATGGTCACTTACACCAAAGATCACCAAAGATTCAGGTTTCTCCCAGTCCCAAGAGACCAATCTCTTACGCCAGGTCAGTTTGTACCTCAGATCTCACACCAAAGACAACGCTTATAGCCAATCCTATAATTAACTAACTAAGGATTTATTAACTAAGAAAAAGAAATGAGAGAGTTATTTACAGGATAAAGCAGGCAACATATACACACATATGAGGTACAGTCTATGGTTCCAAAAGGTGGCAGAGCTGTAGTAATCTGTCAGCACTGAATGTCTTTTAGGGCTAACCCAGGTCTACCCTGGGGATCTCTGCTTTTATTTCTTGGCGCCAGCCCTGTGAGAGTCCAGACAGCAAAGAGATGAGGAATTTTCATGCCAGTTATCTTTATTGCCTGTCTTTGTATTGTGATGGTTCAGAATGGCCCACTTAGTATTGATAGTCCTCCTTGATGGGCGGGGGAACCACTCCTCCTGCCTGAGTTCACAAGTTCAGAGCAGGCATTTTTACAGTTATAAAGCAAAACTTACATATGACCTTATTAGAGAGACCAGGTGGGTGAAGTAATATCTTTTACTGGACCAACTTCTGTTGGTGAGAGAGACAAGCTTACAAAGCTTGTCTCTCACCAATAGAAGTTGGTCAAATTAAAGGTATTACTTCACCCACCTTGTCTCTCTAGTATCCTGGGACCAACATGGCTACAAGTACCCTGCATACACATTACGTTATAGCATGGGATACAGATATTACAAGTAAGATTAATGCATGCAGCAACTTACAAGCATTTTATAGTGTCTAAAACACATCCTTATGAGTCTAATATCGATCTGGAGCAATACTAACATACAGGTGAGCTGGTCTGGTTTTCAGCTAGGAATTTATTGATGCTCAGCTGGCACCTACAGCCTTGGCAATAGCTGGCACCTGGTCCACCAGTGTCACAGTTACATTCCTCCAACCAGACTCATGATTGGCATCCAGGGTAGGAACAGGCCCTAGAAGGTTGTTCTTCTTTTCAAAACAATGGGCTTTGCGTGTCTCTGTCTCTTAATGAATTTATTTCATACCCAACTCCATCCCCAAAGTGCAGCTCGTGTTTTTAATGGGCATTGATATTCAGTGTTGTCTATACAGAGCAGCTCCATTGATATACAGAGTACCTCCATACTCCAGAGATGATTTACTTTATCAAGGTAAGTGTTCAAAAATATTGTTGCTCTTAAAGACTCTGGTCTATACCTCCTCTCTGGAGGGAAGGTATCTCACCTGCATTTTGTATTGTGCAGCTCTGTCAGATCTTCCTGTCAGAGGCGAGGCCAGTGGGAATGCAGAGGACAGGTACAGGGCATGGTCCTCAAAATCTGCACCAGGCTGACATCTGCTAGAAAACACACAGGAGACATCCTGGAACCTAGGCCTTAGGGAGGGATTCCTTCTGCTTCAATGCTCCTTAAGGGCCTGAGCTAGCTCCCAGGAAAGACTATGCAGACTCCCTCTGACTATAACAGAAGGTGGATGAAGTCTGTAAGGATCAGGCCTAGTTATTGGGTTGCCACTGAACAGTAATGTGGGTAGGGATATAGGCTCAGATTTCAAGAAGTGTCTATGCATTTGCATGCCTATTTTATGTGCAAAATTATTACTATAACTGCCTTTTCTCCTTCAGTGTTTTTACTGCAGAGTGAATGGGGCAGGGCTGCTATCTTCCCTCATTCAGTGAGCACCTTAACAGCTTCTCAGTGGCTGAGGCATTTCTCCTCCCCATTACACAGCTAAGTTAGCCATCCATGTGGATGTGCGATGCAGCCTTCTTTCCTTTAGCTACTCCCATGAGGTTATGCTCACTAATGGAGTAAGATATTTTTACTGTCTTGCCCTTTATGCTTCAGAAAATACAGGAGTAACTTCAGATTGACTCTTGTAAAGGAGATGAGTCTAATCCAATGTTTCATAAATAACAAAAGCTAAGTAGCAAAATGTTAACTGAAGCATATGAAGATCTAGGTCAGGGATTGGCAACCTTTGGCACGCAGCCTGCCAGGTTACGGCCCCTGGTGGGCCAGGCCTGTTTGTTTACCTGCCGCGTCCGCAGGTTCAGCCAATCGCAGGTCTCACTGGCTGCGGTTCGCCGCTCCAGGCCAATGGGGGCTGCGGGAAGTGGCGCGGGCCGAGGAATGTGCTGGCTGCCGCTTCCCGCAGCCCCCATTGGCCTGGAGTGGCGAACCACGGCCAGTGGGAGCCGCGATCAGCCAAACCTGCGGGGGCTTACTCTGGCGGGCCGCGTGCCAAAGGTTGCCGATCCCTGATCTAGGTGAAATGCTGGTCCTAGTGAACCCAAGGGAAGCTTTACCATTGACTTCAATGAGGCCAAAATTTCACCCCCTGATCTTACACCCATGCTACTTTGGGCTGTTATTTTTGTCAGAATTTATAAGATTAGCAGGATTAAGCCTCCAAGAAAAACCTAAGTGCGGCAGGACATGATGTCAGTGATTCATAGCATTCTCTTTCAGTTGCTACTAATCCAGTGCCCAAACAGTGCAGCTGGTTGGAAAATAGTGAGTTGTTTCTGTGAAAATATTTGCAAAAAAATATATTTTTATGGATGTTTTCCAGGTTTGGGGCAAAAAATAGAAAATGGAAGCCTTTTCAGTTTTCAAACATTGTTTCATTGAAAACCCAGAACATTTAAAAAAGAAATGAAATTTTTCCTCAAAAATTTTGGTTTGGGGGGGGGAAAAGGTCATTTTCCATCCAAACCTGTTTCTGATGGAAAAATGTCAGCCAGTTCTACTCAACAGGGTGGTGGTAACATTTTATTTCAAAGGGGCTACCTGTGTGATAGCTGCTCACCGGTGGGAGGAAGGGTTCACAATTTAGTCCTAAGTATGATTACATTTCCCTGAAATATTTGGTTGTTTTGCCAGGTAATCAACACTCGCATTTCTTCCAAAATCAAGCATCTGGTTTTTTTCAAACTACCCCATTTCCATGGAAATAGACTGGGAACACAAGGCAGTGAATGCAGGTAAGGTACTAAGAGGATTTTATTAATTACAGAGTAATTCAACAGTATCCCTGTCCTCTCTTTAGCACCCACCCTGCCCCAGACATTATAGTAAGTGTTTAAAACAGCTTGCTATATTTTTCTAAGACATTATTTTGTCAAAACCCTATTTATCAGCTGAGCATTTTAACACAATAGTCTTGTCTAATTAACTGTGTTTAAAGAAAGCCATAGCTCATTATTAGGGCTCTGTGTCTGTAATGTAGTTTTGGTTATGAGACAAGTTTTCTGTTAGGGTCAAACTAAATGTTCCATGCAGAACAAGAACCTAACTGAAATGAGAAAGCAGGAGAAAACACTGGACAAGATGAAATGCTAAATAGCCCTTAAGAAATGTTGCTAACGTACTAATACAAATATAATTCATTATTGAGGGTGACAAAGTGAATCTTCTCAATCTTTTATATTTCTAGAACATACAACGAAAGGAAAGGATGTGGTGTCTGAAATAGTGGTTTCCAGCATGGTGCATTATTCCCAGAAGTAATAAAGAGACATGAAAAAAGTTGGGGAAACTGAGACCAAAGAGATTAAATTCAACATTTTCAAAAATGTCCATTAATTCTGGGTACTTTTCAAGTGTCCCTGCCAAAAAAACTTCCTGCAGCAAATAAAAATATAGAATATGCATGCAAAGAATTAAACATGAATGCAGCAAAAAAGCCCATGTGGCTTGTCCTTCTCCCTTTCTCACCAACACGTGGAATTGCTTGTTTCAGAGTATTTACCAACCAAGCTATAGTCGTGTCACCAGTGATTAGTCTGACTAAATAGTGGCTGTATGTGTGTAAGCTTTTGACTTCTGTTCAATGTGTTTTGGAGCAATCAAATAAATGATTAAAAACATGTAAAGTCAGTGCTATAGTAGTTCATGCTATTAAGCAGATTTCTAGTATTCAAGACATGTCTGCTTACAGTTGACTACAGTAAACAAGGCAGGACTTCAGGAAGCTGTACAGTGCAGTACCATATAGTAATCCTATGAAGACAATTTTGTAAAAGGACTCCCCAGTTCACAAGAAGCACACTTCACTTACAGTACTGCAGGCTGGGAATGTGCTGCTTTATTTAACTATATACAAAAACAGGATTGGGGGGGGGGACCACAGGAAATGAGGGGTAGAGCATGGCCCAACCCATAATACTCTACCCAGTTAACCCCTGGATGACCACTGTACTACATCCCTCTCTTCTGAATTTACACTCCAAATGTAGTTTTCTAAATAACCGGGGGCTCTTCTCTCTCTCGTGGGATAGCGCCTCTCTGGGGCAGCTCAGGCAGACTGGGAACCTGCTGCTTTATTCAACTATATATAAACAGGGTGCGGAGAAAACACACACTAATTAAACAGGAATTAAGGTAGCGGGGGAGCATGGCTCCAACCTATAATACGCTGAGTAACCCAATTAACCCCTAGATGCCCACTGTATTAGAGAAAATATTTTGAAAACTTGCCATAAAGAGTGAGCATCATAATTGTTTTTATATCAAAGCCTACAGAATGGGAACACACTGGAGCTTAGGCAGCCTCCAAACCAATCTTTAACACGATTGCTACAGACAAGTCAAAGAGCCAGCAGCAAATAAGGGGAATGTACCAAAAAGACCTGCTCTACCAGAGGTTTTCTTCTGGTCTGACATGCTAAAATGCCACTGTATTTCTTTCACAATCCTGCCCGACCTTGATTCCTTCAGAAGCATTCCGCATTTCAGTACAAGTAACTGCTGCATTATTTGTAAGAATGTCTAGACAATGCCCATTTAGTTCCAGGTAGGAGCCATATGAGTTTCTTTTAGACATCAGAACAAAGCATGAAATTCCTCCAAGACCCCTATTAAGTCCATGTTTCGTGTCCACGTCCCAGTAATGCTGGCCTGAAGAGAAAACGTGAACTGAGAATCCCCTTCAATTTGTCCAAACTGTACCTCTTCCTAGTAACTGTTGTCCGATTGTTTGAGATGGTGAGTCCTGGCTCTTGTTCCTTACTTCCAAAAGTCAGGTCAACACCAGCTGTAGAAGGAAAAGTAAATCTATTTTTTACCACTAGCCCACTCAGCTTTATTTGTTTAATATCAAATCTTACAATTATGAAAAAAGAAGGGGGGGAAATGAACAAACACAAATCTCCCATCTCAGGTTTGTAAAATACAGCCTTTAGGCCTGCTCCTCTGCTGGTGTGAACTGGTGGAGCTGCTTCCAGGCTGCAGCAGGGAAGGAATAGCAGCTACTCGGAGCACTCCTGGCTCACGCTGGAGCTGCTCCTGAAGTAGGGGCACGGGAGAAGTGGTGGGACAGCTGGTGAGGCAACAACCCTTTCCTCCTCCCCATAGTTGTGGGGCTGATTCAGCCACGCCGATGTAAAAGCTGCACTGCACAGCTCAGGGACATGGTTTCAATTCATAATCAAATACATAATTTCTTCCCACACCATCACCTTTGAGGACCACAGTTCAGAGCCTTGAGAGCCACAAATATTCCCCAGGCTACAGATTGGACACTCTTGACCTAGTGGGAAATTCACCCCAGTGCAGAAGAAGGCCTATGCCCCATCTAAGTGCCAGTTAAGGCCTATTTTGATTAAATTGATTCCTAGCTCTATTAGCTACATTTGTGTTCATTTTGACTGAAACGGCTCGAGAGTTTATCTGAGTTCCAGGTATAGGCCACGTATCGAGAGACGTTACCAAATAATCATGTAAACAATCAGGACTCCCGAGCAGGGCTAATGAAGGAACAGTTTAAGACGTGTGCATGCCAGCGGAGATGCTAGCATAGAGTGCAGCAAGGTGAATCATTCTCTTACCAAGCACGTGGCACAAGCGTGTTACAATACGATCAAATGAAGCCATAAGGTGCTTCATGGCCTCAGATCAGACCCTGGCCTTCATCACTTCTTGACTAGGCTAGTGCAAGGCATGCTACCGGGGAGTGACTGTGAAGGTTGCACTGAGATGAACTAGCCCAGCATGCTGCTGTCTACTGCCTCAGTGGAATGAGCCAGAGAAAGAACATCACATGGGTTGCTGTACGCTCTGTGCTCCCTATCCAGTCTGAAGCCAATTCAAAGTTTTGTTCTTGATTTTTCAAGGCCATTAATAGATTGGCTGACCACCTTTCGCTGCATGACGCACCGTGGCTGCCGCAATCAGTTGGGCTGTCCTCCATAGTGACGTTCATAGAGGCTGGGGGCATAATGTTCTCAGTCATGTTCTTCTGGCCTGTGGAACTCCCTCCCCAATATGCAATAAAGACCCACCTCTTTGTGCAGGTCTAGTCCCAATAACGCAGATACAGAATGACTGAGGTGTTGAGGAAGTAGGGTGGGAAAGTTTGCCTTTGGAGACAGAATCAATGTGGTTCCTTTTTTTTTTATGGCACTTAGTGCAGAGTTAGTGGTGCTAGAAATGAAATGCACACATAGGCAGAGAGACAGCTCATATTTAGATTACCATTCATTACATTTTAATTGTTTTAGGACACTAATAAATTATCTCAATCTTCTAATCATTTTAAAATGTAGATACTTATTTAACTATTTAGGACACCAAAGAACTGGCTTAATTTGTTCTACAACTTCCATGGTAGTCTCCAAATGAGATTTGACAGGCCCAACCACTCAAGATCAAGAGACAAGACATTTTCTGCCTTGGTGTTTTGAACCCTGCTGTGCGCTTTCCTCATGCATCCCTGTTATCCTGCTTCCACAGCTGAATTCACAGACACTGTCAGCTCTGTTCACATTTTGGTCTGGGCTCAATGGGCCATGTTCTTTGGAAAGTTGAGAGTTCGCTACCCACTAATGGCACAGATTCAACAAGCAGGCTCACAACTGGGTATTGCTTCTTCTCAAAACCTGCCAAGTGAAATGTTGGAAAACAAAAGAAAATGATGAAAACAACATCTCCAAAACAAGACTGTGAAGAAATATTCCCCAGGATTGTCGATGGAACATTGTTCAGAATTTAGTTTCTAGGGTTGATGTTTGCAGCCTTTAGGTTAACCTGGTGTCATTCTCATTAAATTAGGCTTTAGGGACTAAACTACCATACAGAAAGCGTATTAACTGAATTATGCCTTACAGAACATGCTCAAAAAGGTAAATAGAGAGTTATAAAGAGAGATTCCAGCCATTTTTCACACCCTCTTCATGAAGTCAACTTTGTTTTGTAACCGCTTTGGCATGAAATGTATTGCGCAGTTGAGATCGAAGCTGCAGATTTTCCAGCCACCCCGCGTGTCTCTGAATCACTAAAGCAATTTCCTTAATTAAACTGAGATTGTAAAACTCAAAGTCTGGAAAAGGCCCCACAATTCATGCAGTAGTTTCCCCATCTATAAATAGAGGGCAGGGATACTGTCCTACCTCCCTCAGGTTGTGACGATTAACTGGTCAATACTTGTACTGCCCCTTGCACCATGGGAAATGCTATCTCAGTGTTAAGTACGATCGTTAGCAGGATTTTTAATAGTCAAAGTGCTGTACAAAAGACAAATAAACCTCATAACATCCCTATGAGGCAGACATTATTCATTATTTGTACTACTGTAGTGTTTAGGATCCCTAGTCATAGACTAGGATTCCATTGCGTTAGGTGCTGTGCAAACCCAGAACAAGAACACAGTCTCTGCCCCAAGGGGCTTACAGTTAAGTATAAGACAATAGATGGAGGCAGACAGACAGGCAGGCTGGGGATTACAAGGAAACAATGAGACGATATTGGTCATCAGGATAGGCAATGATAGGGATTATCCCAACTTTACAGAGCAGGGAGGTTAAGCGTTTGCCTGTGGTCACAGAGGGAGTCACTGATGAGAACTCTGCGGTTCCTGACTCCCTGTCCTATGCTCAGCCACACCTACTGCCTTTCTTCACATGCTTCTCTGTGTGTTTATTGCCTTTCCCCGCCCATTTGTAATAATCCTCCTTGTGCCTGTGTGGCAATAGGCAGGGCCTAAATAAATTCAAACTATCACTGCAAATATTAGAAAATGGACAGATGGCCTCAAATGCAGCCCTGGAAAGTGCAAGGGTTTCTTTGACAGCATGTAGCTCAGTCAGATTTTACCAAGGTGCAAATTCATAAAACCTTAGCACACCCTTACTTCCCCTTATTTGTCCCTTGTTTTTTAACCTTTAAAAATAACAGATAATTTAATGCTGGGGAAAAGTGCAGAACTGGCATTCTTAGGAACAGGTACAGAGCAGCAGCTGCACTGCAAGCTCATACACTAGCCCAACATGACTCAGACTTGACCTTGAAAAATCACCTCAGAGGGAGATGTGTCTCCGGCCTATTCAGTCCTTAGCTTCTCTACTGAGAGGAAACAATTTGTATCAGTGTGATGGTGGATTCTGTGATGTGGAGGCTTGGCCACTGAGAGCAGAAGTGAGACCCCTGACTCATTCTCTGACTATAGGTCATGTCACCACACATTTTCTTTTAGTGGAAGAGGAAAGGGAGGTCCTATGGGATCTCCCAACCTATGTTCCCTTATTGCACGCTGTGCTCTGCAGCGCAGAGCCCTCCCTCTGCCTAAAAAAG